TGGCACACCTGGTCATATGTGCACAACAAAAGTGTCCAGTAGTCATTTGCTGCTTCTGAGCTCCGAGTATTTACTATGACTGTCAAGTGCCTCACTTTGGTCCATCATATCACATTTTCATTCATCTGTAAATTGAGGATAATGATGCTGCATGGCAGCCCACCTCCTGGGGATAAGTATTTGTGCCATAATGTTTAAGTGAAATGTCTGGGAAAAAAATATTTATTAACACAAGACTTATTTCTTTAGTCTAGATGGCTTACTTGCATCTCTCCAAAATAGGTGGGCAGGTACCCATAGAAATGGTGTCTTTCATCTTGGACAAAATGGACACAACGCTAGAGTGTTTCCCCGGACTGAAGCTAGAAAAGTTATCCCACACAAGGAGCACAATATTTAACAAAATCAATTGAGGTCTCCAGCTGATTGTGATGCTGTGAACAAGTGCCCGGTTCCTTCTCAAATGGAATTTTACACATTCAGCAGCAAGGCTGCTGGACTACATTTCTTGGAGTTGGAGCATCCTCGAGAGGTCTGGCCTCTGAGACCTGGAGTATAGGTAAGAGATTGATTTTATACAGGGGAAAATGCTGTGCAGCAAGGCAATTTCTGAAACACAAGTTCTCTGCTCTTCATTGCTTAAATCCCATTGAAGTGTTGTCGGAAATCATTGATAATTGCCATGACCATGGGCAATCCTACTTAAAACTGGCCTTAAATAATAGTTTCAAATGAATCAGGAAGTACTTGGTAAAACCTTTGAATAGGATCCGAGGTATAGTAGACGAAAGCATTTTTTTTCCCCAAAGACTCATGATAAAATACAGAAATGTGCTAAAGTGATAAAGAATTTTTCTACCACACAAATGGACATTTGTCCAGACAGAAGAATCTGTGCATTCACATGTAGCTCATTCCTCAATTTGGACATAACAGGGAAAAAAATTATATTCACTAAGTGTCCACTATATGGCTGGCAACACACTGCACACTTCAGAATATTGTCCCATTTAATGGCATAGTAGTTCTTCACAATAAAAAGTGTCTTCATTTTACAGATAAAATGATTGAGTTTCAGAAAAGTTAAACAACTTGTCAATGACATGCAGGGTAGTCCCAAACAAAGATGGAATTTGAATATAGGTCTTACTGGGCTTCAAGGTCCTAAGTGGATTTTGCCACTGATAAATCACACTTAATCCCAGAATTTCCTAGTTAAACTGTGGTCTCCAACACTAAAGAAGGCAAAGTCCTCTCTTTTGGATGTTCTAAAACAGAGATGGGCAAACAATTTCTGTAAAGGACCAGAGAGCAAATATTCTCAGTTTTGTAAGCCATACAATCTCTGTCACAACTACTCAACTCTGTGGTTGTAGCATGAAAGCAGCCATATAGGATACTAAAATGAATGGGTATGGTTGTATTCCAATAAAACTTTATTTATAAAAACAAGTGTCAAGCTGGATTTAGTCCAGGCGCCATAATTTTCAGATCCTTGTTTTAAGACATACCCAATGAGGAGATACACTCAATAAGACAACCATTTCCAAATGTGTTGAGGTAAGAAGCATTAAACATTTATATGAAGGCTCCAACCCATTATCTTTCATTTTCATTGAGGTAAGTTTGTAATCCCTTTTACAACAATCAGTAAATATGTTGCTTCAAAAAAAAAAAAAAAGAAAGAAACTTTAATTTAAAATAAATTAGAATAAAATTGTCACGGTTTATTTTTCTTCTGGGTTTGGAGAAATGTTTTATGCAATTTCCACAGGGAATGGCATTTGACTATCCAGATGCATACCAGCTTATAATTTCTAATTTCCTTTGTTTCCCCAACACCCCAGGAAGAAAAAAAAAAGTACTCTGTGATAAAACCGGTTAAGTCTGGGTTTGTTTTCTCTTTTATTTTAAGATTGTATTTGGACATTTATGATAGGTCTTTGCTGAAATAATGCAGCAGGAAGAGCTATGGATATGAAACTGGAAGCTCATGTGCAAACACCAAGTAGAAGCTACAATTGATCATAGAGCAAGAAAGGAGGGAGGGATAGAAGGCAGAGGGAAGGACTTTCTGGTGGGTCAGAAGCAGGGAGATGAGATGACTTCTAGGATTCTCTGGCTCAACTCGTCTCTAGGTATGAGAATTGTATTTTCTAAACCCAACCCTTGTTTGATGAACTGCAAGTGTCTTGAAAGGGGTTATTAGACCAGGGTATTTAGAACAGCCCTGACTGCAAATCCTGGGGGAGAGTGACTGTATTTACAGAATCATAGGCTGAAAGAGGAAAAGTAAATGAGAAAAACCTACATGCCAGGTCTGGGCACCAGAGTTAGGAAGAGATTTATAGGTCAACTTAACCAGCCTGGCTGAGCATGTGAAAAGAGTTAGAAAAAGCAAAATCATTAGCAGTAGTATTTCACTTTGTATTGGTTCTAAAAGAATTAAACACTAAAATCTTATCTTCCCGAATCAATATTTCCTATTTCTGTACATCATTGTGGTTTTAGAATTTACAGTTTCAGGTAGGATGTGAGGTTGATCCATTACCTGTCATTTCGATTTAGGGACACAGAAGCTGTGTGATTAAAACCATGGATTGTGGATTGAAGCCTCACTGGTCCTGAATCCCAGGGCCATTCCTTACCAGCTTGGGAGCCTTGGGCATGTTACTTATGCTCTATGTACTCAGTTTCCTCATCTGACCAACGGTCAGAGTGATAGTCCCTACCTCATTGGATTGATATGGGGATGAAATGGGTTAGTAAATTTATCCACTCATCTATCTGTCCATCACTCGCCCAAGACTGTATTGGGCATGAGAACAGTTAAGGAGCCTCTCGTTAAGTATGGGTGACGGGCTAATGGTTAGTTAGATCACAGAGGACTCTGTAATACATGCTGAACAAATGCTTGGATAGAGAAGAGAGCCGTAAAGCAGCCAGGAAAGCCAGAAGCCTCCCTGGGAAAGTCGATGCTTGAGCAGAACACTGTGAGAGAAAAAACAGGACTCAGGGTGACAAAGAAATGTCTGGTTTCCAAACAGAGGGAACCACTGGCCTGCGAGAAAAAATGAATGTGTTCTTAACACGATGTCCAAAGCCCTCTAAACCTGAGATTGTTCCCTAGCCCCATCTCTCAGCATGTCCCTCCCCAGGGTGGGACAAATGTCACTGCCTGGACATTGCCTGGCTCTACCCCAGACCCCACATTCTCAATTTCTGACTGTTCAGGGAATAACTGTGCTATAGAGCATCATGGAGTGAAGGCTGCACCCCTCCTCCTGCCCCACATCCTATCACGCCCCTCAAACCTCACACCGCTCAATCTGCCCTCCAGAAAGGCACTACGGGCTGGCAGGCACAGTGCCCCAGATCCACAATGACCGAAAATGAACCACAGCTATGTTCCTTCTCTCCTGCTTCTCAAAATCCGTAAAATTGGCACAACAACGAGAGACAATATGTCTTCCCTATGAGCTCATCTAGCCTGGCAGTGATGAATGTCATTTCTGATTCTAAACAATTATGAGAAATGCTTCAATGTGAGTGAGGAGCTTTCTGAAGAATGCCTGAAGCAACAGAGGCATTGGGGGGAGCCCATATAGGGAAAGATAAACCCCTTGGGCTCACATTAATTCATTGTTAAACTGTAAAACCAGTATCAGGCTCTAGAGTACACTTAAGACTCATGACTCCATGAAAACTCTAATCATGAGTGAGTCATTCCCCCAATCACAAACTTGGGAAATTAAGGAGACAGATAAAGCACTCCCCTAGAGATTTTCCTCTTGGGTTTCAACTGAACCCCCTAAGTGAAGGGGGCCCTGTAACTTTCATAATTGGGAAATAAAACCTCTTAGAGAGATTAACCTTCTAATGCTTGCTGTGGCTACCTCATGGGCAGAAAACAATCTTTTCCTTGTTATATATAAATTCCTCGTTCTCACTAGCTCTGGAAAAAGCTATGTATTTCATCGCATTTCACTACATCTCTGGCAAGTTGGATATTGAAAGGGCACAAAGATTCTGACAGTACTCTAAATGAATGCATCGGTATTTCTGTAACTGAATGTCGAGGGTTTAATCTGCACTATAGTGCTGTCTAAAACTGGTAATAAAACAGAGGAATAATATGTCAAGATAAGATCCAAAGGACATATAATAGTGACATGTGCTACTCCATGACAAGGGCATAATGAAATGCACTGGGAAGAGAGTAGCCTTATAAAAAAGAAGCCATGAACTTTTTTCTGACAACTGGTCCAGAGCCAGAAATGGGAAAGATAACAATCCATCTTCCCCATTTCTTTTTAGTTTCTGGACCAAGTTTAAAGCTCAACAATCCATTAGTAAGTTGTCACAGCAAAAGATGGAAGACATTTATAGTACACACAATTCAGGCTCTTTGCCTGGTCCATAATGCTCCCCGATTTCCCTTCTCACCCATAGAAATGGTCACATTACACCACTCCCACCCTAGTCCTAACTGATTGGACCAGAGACAGAGGAGACTGGGACTAGTACCGTATTTTACCTGTCACATGAACTTAAAAACAAGTAACATTGTTATGAATTTCAATGCATAACAATTGTATCACTTTGGATGTGCAAAAGGACAATTTATTTTTCTTTAACTGAAAATGTTTCTGATTTGCAGCCACATTTATTTCTAATGCAAAATATTTAATCTGGTCCTTTTCAGAAAACTTCAAAACTCTGAGTGATATCTCAGACCATTCAGACATAAAACATGGACAATCAAGATTTTCCCTCCAAGAGTTTTCTTCTTCTTGATCTTTATGTAACATTGTTGGGATATTCACAAATACCACTGAGGAGGGTTGCCAGATAAGATACAAAACATTCTACTATATCTGAATTCTGTAAAAATTTCACACAAATTCATAACCACCACCATTTTTAGTAAAAGTATATCCCATGCAAAATTTGGGATATACTTATACTAAAATATCATCCGCTTTACCTGATATTCAAACTTGACTGAGCATCCTGTATTTTCCTTTGCCAAATCTGGCAACTCTATACTGAAGTTGGGGAGTGAACATATGCTTCTTCGGTGTGGTCACTGCTTTCCTTGTGCTGACCACCTGCCCCATCCCTAGCTCATCCCCAGATGATCTTTCCATCTTCCGGCTTACATCTAAAGACGTGCCATTGCCTCCCGTTGTCAGATCCACCGCCATGCTTCTTGCTTCTTGCCCTTATTTCCAGACTCTCTTGTGTCTTCTTGTTCATTTGTAGTCACTTTTGGATGAGCTACCTCGCTGCCAGTCACTCTGAAACTTATTGGGGGCTACCTCAGGCACTCTTATACCTTAATATACCCCCACCATGTCTGTTTAATTTCTACTTTCCAAACTGACCTGAGGGATAGGGGAGAGAAGAGGCTTCCCTATTCTCTGAGCCTCACCTAGAACTTGAGCCAAGAGAGGAAAGGACCTATAAGTCCTGTATTTACAGGAAAATTCTATTCTTCCTTGGTCCTCTTGGGCTTCCATATTCATATTTAATACTCTGTTCCTCTTCAAACACTTTCCTCCCCACTCCAAACCCTTAGGACTGTTTATCTATTTGGGAAAGAAAGTACAAACTAAAAATGGATTCTGGATGATAAGACATCCTTTCAAGAGTACTTCTGAGTTGAAAAGGTAAAAATTTGTCACTCTTGGGGGGGCGGAGCAAGATGGCAGAGGAGTAGGAGACCTGGATTTCGTCTGGTCTCAGGAATTCAGCTGAATAGGGATCAAACCATTCTGAACACCTATGAACTCAACAGGAGATCGAAGAAAAGAATAGCAACAACTCTCTGAACAAAGAAGTGACCACTTACTGGAAGGTAGGACGTGCGGAGAAGTGAATCCGAGGCGATATTCGGGAGGACAGACGGCGAGGGAGGGGGCCTCCGTCGGCTGCTTCTGGCAAGTGCTAGAGCCGCGGAGCACAAAATCAGAACTTTGAGAAGTCGGCTCCGCCGAGGGACATCGCTCCAGTGGCTAAGTGGGGGCTGGAACCCTCGCGGGACAGTGTGGTCTCAGGACCCTCGGGGTCACAGAAAGACTGGGGGTGCCTGAGTGCGGCAGAGCTCCCAGGTAT